AAACGGCCGAACGAAAATTCCTGAAACTAGCAGGGTAGATAGACCTCGAGTAGTACAGCAAAAGTTGGCGTAGACACAAATTTGCCAGACGTCATCTTCATGGACTTCCAGAGACCCCAAGGTCAAAAACTTGCAAAAAGTTCCCCCCCCCGCAAACCCACAGNGAATTCTGAAAATGCATGACTTTTTCTGTCATCTAGTATGTTAATATTTTAGTTTGTATTTATCTACTAATAAAATAAATTATGTGCAGCAAAGATATCCTCGTCATGATCATATTCTGACCAACTTGATATTGTCACTGTCATCAAAATTAGTTTTTTCAAATTTTCATCGGTATAGAAATACCTTTCTAGAAAAGTAAATTTATATTATGGCATAACTGGAAATTCTCTGTTACTCTGTATATTAACCGACTGTCTTGCATTCACTTTATTTTATGAAAAAATAATTTTAGCACAGCGTACATGCTACCTATTGACATGTGCAAAAATAATTGCATTTTTTCGTTAATCTTTTAATTTTTATTTTGGATAGACTATCTCTATCGACACAATAGTTTAAAAAATAACTATAGATTCTAATAGAGCTTAAAATCCTGTATTATCCTATATATACATATATGTTTGTCTTATCTTGTATTTATGTTTTGAAGAATAATTATAGTATTATGTAGATACCCTCTTTGACAAACTCTAAAGAAAAGCAAGTTTTTTTCAATATTTCTTTCGTCTTTTGTTCCCAAAATTCCGAATGCTTGAGTATGTGAGACAGTATCACAAGATATAATTGAGTGTTCGAAAAGTTATTTCCATAATGATAATAAGATTGAAATATGAAGCAAAGTGCTATGAGAAAATCCATTTTTTTCGGTTTCTTAAGGATATTTATCCATATTATATTCGAATTGCTTTCAAGTACATAAATGCAAGGCAAAAAAAAATTATAGAATGATAGTAAGTCTAAAGCTCTGTCAAACTCTATAGTTTCATTTTTTAAGACTTATTTTCATAGTAACTTTATTTTTAAAAAAAGTAAGAAAAGACACGATTTTTTTTATGGTCCTTACCAATTTAGGATGTTTACTGTATTCAAGTTATTTTTCAATATATGAATGCAACACAATATTAAAATAAACAGAGTGATAGAGAATTTCAAGTTTTGCCAAGATATATAGCTGCTATTGTAAAAAGTGTCTCCTTAATGATAAAAAAATTTCAAAACTAATGTAGATGACAGTAACAAAATTCAGCTGTTGGGAACCTTGTCATGAAGGGTTCCTTCTTGTACTTGATTTATTTTCTAGTTTATAAGCGAAAACTAAAAACATAAATATTTGGAAAGATCCCATGTAGTACATTTAGTTGCACTACCGCTGGTATACCGCAACACGTGAAGAAACCGCCGGTCAAAAAGGTAGCGGAGTATGTGGCTGTTTATTTATATAAATATTTTTTTAATTTAGATCGGTCTTCACATTGCAATGGACAGTAAGTATTTATTTGTATCAATATTTTTTCTTTTTTTAGATCACTTTCACTATCACAATAAAAATTAAGTATTTATCTAAATAAATTATTTTTTTTTATTTAGATCGACCTCAATATTACAAAGAACGGTAAGTATTTATTCAATAAATTATTGATTTAAATAAATCGTTTCTTGTTCCTTTATTTTAGATAAATTTCAACATCACAATAAACAGTAAATATTTATTTATATAAATTATTATTTTTTCTTTAATTTAGATCCATCTCAACTTTACAACGGAAAGTAAGTATTCATTTAGGGTTCCAGGGTGAAGGAGTAAGAGTACAGATCAGTAGATTAAAATCCTGATTGTACCGGTAAAACTTGAAACTACCGTCGGTTTATTGTCGGTATACCGCCGGTCTTTTTGCCTCTACCGGCAATACCGCCGATATAGCGCACATTATACCGAACGGTCAACCGGCGGTTTTCCTTCGGTTTGGATCACATGGGTGTGGGTGTGGGTGTGGGGGTGGGGGTGTGGGTGTAAATGAATAAAAGCTCCACACTCACACACACACCCTTCAAGGAGGCATCTTGAGACAAGCGGTATTTACTCATGTATGCATTGAATTATGATGATCTAACTGACGAGCAGCGTTCATCTAAAAAAAAGATAACTAATTCGCAAGAAACCTTCGCTGAAATAAAATCATTAACTCTGAAAAGTCATTTGAACGTTTCTTTACCTGCGATGATGAATGCCTTGCTTAAAGTTCTACGGATCATATCTGTGAATAGGTGTGAACATGAAAGAAACTTTTTGTTATCAAGAACAATATGAACCTATCTTCAAAATACAACAAGACAAGATCGTATATCAAGGCTTCAATTGCTGAAAATTGAAAGTGAATTTTAAATTGCGTAGTAATGATGAACAGTTTTTTATTATCAATTTGTAGTGCCATTTTGTTTATTCAAAAGATACAAAAAAAAGACTTAAAACTTTGTTTTTTTTTGTTCAATACTGGTGCTTTTTGAGATCCATTGCTACACTAAAAAAGACTCTAGCCTGCCATTGGTATATACGCACTCTCGCATGACCTGCACACAACATCTGACTTGACAAATACAATGCCCTAAGCAAAATCTTTTTTTTTTCTCTTTGCTGTCTCACTTTTTTTTCTTTTTGTATTCTAACCTTTCTGTTCTCTTTGTTGCCTGACCTTTTAGTTGAATTGATCTTTAGTTGAAATAATCTATCTCTATAGTCAAGTAACGATAGAATTTTATACATTATATGTGCCTTTTCTTCACGGTAGCTTCCATTAATGTGGTAAAAAGAGCCATTTTTTTTAGATTAGAACCTATCCATTTATTAATTCCAATGAAAGATTGTTCAGAAGAAAATCCTCCAATGGATAAGAAACGTTTTTCAACATTCATGAATAGAAAATTTATTGGAATAGTTGCTCTAGCGATTATAATCACAATATTTGTTGGTGGTCTGATTGCATTAACAGTCATTAGCGCTAAAATTGCAGTAAGACCAGATAAAAAATTATCGATGTCTCGAAAAGTTTTGTTTATAATCGTTGATGGTATTCCTGCAGATATCATAGAAAAGATATCAATTCCAAACATGAAAAAGATTCAAGAACTTGGAAGTTTTACAAGAGCTTATGTTGGTGGTGAAAATGGTACTTATTCACAAACACCTGCTATTTCAGCACCTGGTTACATGAATCTACTCACTGGTACGTGGGCTAACAAACATAATGTGTATGACAATGAGATGGAAAATCCGAATTATCATTACAAAAATATTTTTCGACTTCTTAAAGAACAATATTCTGATAAAAAGATTGCCATTTTCTCAACGTGGACAGATAATCGTATCAAACTTATTGGCGATGGAGTAGCCACCGCAGGCAATATTATATTTGATTACAAATTCGATGGATACGAATTCGACAATATTACTTATCCTCATGATCTAGATGACCATTATATATTTGATATCGATGAATGTGTAACAAATGAAACTTTCGCATGTATTAAAATATATGGGCCTGATCTTTCATGGGTTTATTTACAATATACGGATGATGTAGCGCATCAGTTTGGAGACAGTGAACAATTCAACCAAGCAGTTAAGAATGCTGACCATCAAATAGGGCGAATTTGGGAAGTTATCAATTATCGAATGAAACATAATCAAGAAGATTGGTTATTCATTATTACAACAGATCATGGCAGAGATTCTATAACAGGCAAAGAACATGACTATCAGTCTGATAGAGAACGAACAACTTGGATAATAACAAATAGTCAACAAATGAATAGTTATTTTCATGATTTTGAACCTGCCATAGTTGATATATATCCAACAATTGCAAGATGGATCGGTCTCAATATTCTGATTGAATCTAAGCGAGAATTAGATGGAGTACCGTTGATAGGCAAAGTCTCATTAATAAAACCGAATATCAAATTACATGATGTTACTTTAAACATTAGTTGGACAGTTTTAGATCCTGTAGGAATTGTAAAAATGTGGTTATCAACTACAAATTTATTTAAGGATGGTATGACAGACAGTTATTATTTAGTTAGAACAGTACCCATAAACGAAAAAATGATTATCGTTGATATACAAAAATATCCATCAAATTTCTATAAAGTAGTTCTGGAAGGACAATATAATACAATGAATAGATGGATTATTCGATCATGAAGTTGTATGAATAGTATATATTAATAATAAAATTACAATATATCAAATAGGTATTCGAAATTAGAAGAAGATGATATCGAGAACTAGCATAAATAAACCTGTAAGTAAAAATATTCCTGGAAAAATGGATGCGATTGATAGGGCGATAATATGTATGTACGTGTCAACTATGCTCACACTATCGAAAGCAACAGATCGATACATTTGCACTTACGAAACTATTGTGGTCACATTCAGACTGTCAACTTTTCAGACTATGACTTCATGATTTAACAATAATATTGATTATGAAGCTTTGATGTTTGATCTTTGAAAATGATAAATGTGGTCTCACAAGTCAGGCCAGTTCAGATGTATCGACAATTGCTTTTGATGGATCTTTTTATTCTCAAATATTCGTTTGCTTGGGAAGATTTGGCTGAGAGTGGATCTCTCGAAAAGATTTGTTTTTTTTTCTTTTATCATCGAAGACTTTTATGACAAAATGGCTGGAAGTGACATTCTATGGTTACAGATTCTTACGCTCTATCGATTGATATTAGCCAAAAAATCAAATGATATCGAGAATCAGTACTGTCGTAAACGGAAATGGGTCAAAAACACTAAAATAGTCAAATTCTGTTTTTGTCAAGTTTATTACATCTCACACAACATACTTAAATAATTTTGATATTTTCAATTTATTTCGATAATTTATTCACTTTTCTTGGAAATCGAAATTAATAAATATAGGGTGTGGGTGGGTGTGGGTGTGGCAGTGAGTATGTTTGTGAATATGGATGTGTTTCTCCTTCTAAAGCCAATTCATCTTGGGCGGAATGGCCTTATCTGTGTAGAGTTTGGCAAGTTCATTTTGAATACCCTTAATATTTTGGATGAGCTGTTTCGTCGAAAAGAAGATGTTGCCAAGTGCAAGACGATTACTCATTGTTCGAGTAATATTGACTTGCCGAATGAGTTCAGTTACTGCCCATGGACCAGTAGCCTGATTCATTCTGTAGGCTGCATTACCTGCATAGATATGACGCCCTTTGGTCGATTGTCCTATCCACCAGTTCAGTAAAGCACTGTAGGATTGAGCAGGTGGATCAATGGCCCAGTAGAGTTGTGGCGTCAAATAATCAACAAAACCTTTTTGTAACCATAAACGACTGTCACAGTAGAGACTATCGTACGACGAAAGACCGGTAATACCTGCTGGTGTACCGGGTTTCCAAATGCCAAAAGGTGATACACCAAATTTAGCTTTAGGTCGAATAGCATGTGTGCGATTGTATAGGGATTCAATTAGATAATTGACATTCGATCGACGCCAATCGGCCTTATTCATTGTTCCGCCTTGCCGTTGATAATCACTGAACGTAGCTGAATCAGGAAACTCGGTACCATCACTGTACGGATAGAAATAATCATCAATGTGCAGACCATCGACAGGATATCGACGAACGATATCTTCGGCAACATTGAGAACAAATTGTTGAACGTCTTTTGATCCTGGATCCATCCAGAGTTGATTGTCATACGTGTAGGCATACTTTGGAAATCTTTTAGCCATATTTGTCGCAGTCGGAGTGTACGTTGCACCTTTCATTCGAGCACGATATGGATTGATCCAAGCGTGCACTTCAATATTGCGTTTGTGTGCCTCGGTCAGAATGAATTGGAGAGGATCCCATATAGGTGATGGTGCAACACCATGCGTACCGGTCAAGTAGAGACTCCACGGCTCGAGTGTCGACGAATAGAGAGCGTCGCCCGCTGGTCGAACCTATCACCGTTTTATAATAATATCAGTTAAATAAGTATGTTGACTTTAGCTCACCTGAAAAATGACAGCATTCATGTTGAGTCGTTGGACCATATTCAGAATATTGATAAGTTCATTCTGTTGGGTGGCCGGCGTGGCTGTTTTCGACGAAGGCCAATCAATATTGCTCGCAGTAGCAATCCAAATGGCTCGAAATTCTTGTCGTTGTGCTTGATTGATGGAAAAGCAACATTTAATGTTGACCGGTTTGGATTCACAATAACCGGATATATACAATGTATTCGGACATTGACTGATATCAATACATTGACCGATACCATACTGTGGATGATTGTAAGTGCTACACGAATCTGCTCGGGGTTGTATCGAAAACGAAGTTGACAAATTCAACGAACAACATACAGCGACAATAATTAGTAGGAGAATCATCTTTCAAATCAATCTACTCTAAAATAAAGTGTTCTGATTTCAAGAGTGAGAAATCACTGATATTTTCAAATAAAATCCCTACGCAAATATTTTGATAGCAAAATGGAGAAACCTACACTCACTATTTAGAAATGTAATCCCTACAAGATTCAATTGAGAAATATGATTTCATGAATGGTTAAATCCTCTTTCTGCTAATTGAATTAAATACCCATCAAAATTGGTTCGTTCTATTCAGAAAATTTTGGCTTTTAGTACGCACACTTTTTATCTTCTATTATGAAAAAACAGCAATTTACCGTTGAGACTAAACTCAGACATTTTATTAGTAAAATAAAACTGGATGCACTTTCTTTGTTTCGCTCTTATAGAGTATGCACTACTTAATGTCAAAAATGCTTGTTGTGCTCTAGTTCGAACTGTTTAAAGTGGATCTCACTGAATTTAATCATGAAATTGAACTATGTTTAGCACTTATGTGGAACTTACGATGAAGATTGTGAATGTAAGTATGTGTCAGAAAATGTTCTGCTCCCCTGTCCCCCCCTCCCCTTCTCATCCCAATATCTCAATATGCCTATGTAAACACGATAAGAAATACTGAAAGGTATTTCTGTTCAACGAAAACGATCCTGTTCTAACACAAAGCGGCAAGAATCACTCTTTCAACTCGTAAATGTGCGTGAAGATTTGGTAGAACGATTAGATGCTGAGCTATTAGCGCACTATCTGGGAACGAGAAATCAAAACAAAACAGAAAATGACTAACACAAAGAAAATACCCATGTAGCCGAACACGGAAATAATGGATTCAATTACATTATAATGCAAGAAATAGGTTGTATTATAATATAATTGCATCCATTATTTGCGTGATCAGCTACATGGGTAACGAATGAGAATGACTGGCAGTAACATAGTAGCTATAGAATTCAAAAGAAGAGTGTCTAGGTGATTGAAGAGTGCAGAATATGTCTGAAATGAATAGTTAGAAAAAAAAACACGTTCATCTCAACCTATTCTTGTTTTCTAAACAGGATCTGTAGCTTCAAAATACGTTGTTATCTTTAAGTGTCACGACATGAAAGTCATACCCTATGGTACACAATCAAAAAGCTCCGATTTCTACAAAATCTATTTCGTTTAGTAAAACATGCTCTTTTATCTACATCGAGAAATTTTCATCTCTCTACGATGTTTTTCTAACGAAAACGAGCAGATTTTCCGAAAGTCTTGTGTTTCGATTTTCACAAACTTTTCAAAATAGAGAAAATCATATTTATTGTCCATTTGAGAATTAAATGGTCGTGAGTATTTCTTGAATAACTTTAAAACAGAAAGAGAAAAGTAACCCGAACTTTTCGTACTATCTACAATCGACATTGCTCGATAGTTTTTACAAAATCGATGAAAAATTCCGGTGGTTCTTCTTCGTAGATATAGCATGAGTTTTGAAGATGAGCTTAATTCGTTTTGGAAATAAAATACTTTCTTAACAATAATGTAATAGACAGATCGCCTAGCTTCTCGTCTATCGATGTATGCAAAGGTCGAAATTAATAATTGCTTGTGTTCACAAGATATACGGATTTTTCTGAAGACTACTCACAAAATTTTCTCTCAAACTTTTTATTAGCCTTCATCTTCGTGGCATGATTTATTCACCTTCGGAATGGTTTGTCTACTGCATAATGTTATCAAAAGTCATACATTGAACTAATTTTGACGATAATAAACTAGCATCTTCAGAAAATTATCTTCAACCTATATTTTAATGCTGTTGTCATTGGAATAAGTTCCTGAATCTAAATCGGTCAACCGAAAAGAATTTAAAGATGCTCCCATAAATTTACCATAACCATCATTGATCATCAGCATCATATGTACTATAGGTCCTATAATCATTATCATCATGATCATTTAGCTCTTTTTCCATCTCTTCAACATAAATGTCAACCTTCTTAAATATTGTCTCATATTGTTTGAGCGTTTATTGCGTTCATATACTGAAAAAGGGTTTATAAGCACAGCAAACAATACAATGGTATATGAATTTGCAACGTATAACAAACCCTTCTCAAGGTTTACGACAAAAAAGATTTATGTCGTGATCATAAACAGATAGTCAAAGTTTATTACTCCATGCCTATGTTTTACAGTGATCAGTTTGCTCATTTCAGTTAAAGTAAACCTGATGTTTCTATTATGCATATGTTTTCATATTGATCCAGGATAACGCTATATAATTCAAGGCACCATTGCCTTCTAAATAGATGTGAGTGGGACGGTGACCGAAGAAAAAAAAACAATGTCTATGCTCACACTCATATCCAAGCCACTCGTACATCCCATGTCCACATAACAGTATCCAACGAGTGCTCTTCGCTCACGTTTTCTATAGGCGAGAAAACTTCAAAGGTGAATAAATCATGCCACGAAGATGAAAGCTACTAAAAAGCTTGTGAGAAAATTTTGTGAGTAGTCTTCAGAAAAATCCTAATATCTTGTGAACACAAGCAATTATTAATTTCAACCTTGGCATACATCGATAGAGGAGAAGCTAGGCTATCTGTCTATTACATTATAGTTGAGAAAGTATTATGCTTCCAAAACGAATTAAGCTCATCTTCAAAATTCATGGTATATCTACGAAGAAGAACCACCGGGAATTTTTCATCGATTTTGTAAAAATATTGAGCAATGTTGATTCTAGATAGTACGAAAGTTCGGGTTACTTTTCTCTTTCTATTTTAAAGTTATTCAAGAAATACTCACGGCCATTTAACTAGGACAATACTCGGCAAAGATGCACCAAAGTTTATCATTATTAAATGACAATACTTGTTTATAGAAATATGACAAATGTCCCCATATTGGTATCATTAGTAATATTATTAATAAGATTTATTATTTTAGTTAAATGTTTAGTTAATATCGTATTTAATATGAATAGAAAAAGTATTTAATTCATTTACATTTTTATTTTTATTAACAATAATTATTTTGATAATGATGCATTGTCATTTAAAACTCTTCATCAAATTATCTTCATCTTTTTCATTTATTTATATTCTTCAACATTTATTAATTCATGAGAACTCGATGAAAATCATCAATATTATGTATTATATTTTTATAAATTCTTTTTTATTGAATTTTTATCTGATATTAGGAAAAACGTTTTTCCTACTTGCAGTTTTTCTTAATAATATTAAAGTAAAATGAATTTTATTTTAGGTATCTACATAGAGTTGACTTCAAATAGAATTTTCTATTTTGATAAAAATATTCAAAATCAAATAATCGTGAGCCAATACTATTTAAAAGAAAATTGTCTGATAAAAGTTTAAAGTTTTTCTAATATCAAAATGAATCACTTCGAAAATATTTTTCTCAAACGAATCGAACTATTGTTAATGATATTTCAGACTATGGATCTGGGTTTGAAGAACTACATCTAGAGTCTCAACTATTTTTTCTATTATAACGAAATTTGCATATATGTTCACGATATAAGAAATGATTCTTATAACACAAACATTGTTCTGGGTGTGAATGTCCTTTTCATTCACACCCACACTCTGAATCTAATGAAATAATTTGTATACTCGAAGAATCTTTAGTAACACGTTGCATAATTTATCAGTTTGACTTCATAGATAAAAGTACATGCGCGGCGGTGGACGTTGACGTCTTCCTCTTAAAACCGACACTCAAACATACCAACATTCTGTATTAACTCATCAAAAATCTTTTTTTGTCTGACGAGCTCGAGTCAACAATTCACAAGATTACTATTAGAATTGAAATTTCTGTTTTTTGCATTATGATAACGTCTTGTGTTTCAATAATACGTGTTCTGAGATGGTAGTCTACTTTATTCATACTAATTGATTGTTCGATTTCAAGCAGTATCGGTAAAATCAAGGCGATCATTACTGATCGCAATGGCTATAGTATATGGCGAACGAGATCATACCAGGATTTCGATAGCCAAATAAGAAGTTGGTCTAACAATTCAAATCTTCTTTTAAATTATTCTCATGGAAAAGAAATTCTTTTTTTTATGTTTACTATCACTCATCAACCATACAATGAGAAGAGGTTTTCGTTCTACCATATATGAGATTTTTGCGTTTTCTTCAAATGATTTTATTCATTCTTGATAAAAATTCATACTTCTTACTACATGCAGCAACAAACTATTCTAGATCCATATCGAACGTTGCAGTCAATCAATGTTTGCTGCTCGTAAAGTGGTTGACCGCAAAAAGCAAGATAACGATGATCTGGTAGAATAGAAAAATAAATCAAAATCTTGAGTTTCAATATGGCAACGATGTATTGTAATCGAATCTCGAGAAGTTCATTCTTAACTTCGACATCCAAGATGGAAATACATATTGTGTTCGAAGGCCTCTCTCTCTTTTTTTTATACGATAAGTCGACAATCGTCAAATGATACAGGAAGTTTTTGTTTGAGCTCAAAAATTTGATGACCATCAGAAACTTTGAAACAAGCAAGTGGGGCATGAGTACACCGAGTGACACTAGCTGTTCTAGTATATCAGCTGTCTGAATATAATCGTTAATACTAAATAATGAACAATATTATTTATTTCATCTATTTTTCAAAGTAAGACTTACAACATGTCGTAGGTTTTATCTTTCAAAAACACTGAAACGACAAAGAGCTGAGTCAGTGCAGCATTATCTAATCTAACCTCAAAAGATGAATAGCATGAGCTCAAATCACAAACAAATTGTGAGTGCTTATCGAGTTATTCCGTTCATTCAATGATTCATCTCTCTCGTACAAGAAAGTTTTGTTATGATGTACTTGTTCTAGTATATTCTCAATTTGTCAGCCTAGATTCTGTCGAGCGGATTCGTGTTTAATTCGCAATATCTTGCAAATTAGACTAAAATCTTACATTGAACATATAGAAAAAGAATTTGGAAACAGTAGAGACAAGAATATGAACATGTTTCAGGAAAGTTGTGTTGTTGTTTTCATTTCTTTCTTTGATATTCTTAGAATCGCGAACTTATATTCGTCATAATTACATTGGTGGTAAATTCTGAAACACTTCGCGTTCATAATGCTCCTTCTGACTTAAATATCTTCATTTCTTTTTTTTTCTTTCAAGTGTGCTATAAATACTTTCTATTTTTATATTCACTAGCATAATTAATAAAAAATAGATTAAAAAATGTTTATTCTATGTATTTCATAATATTAATGCAGATCTTTTTCATTTTATATGGCTTTTAACTTATGGTAGCGAATCTTAATTGTAGAAATTAACACTATTGGAATGATTGATAAGATACACTTTTTTCAAATAGCGATTAACCAGTTTGATTTTATACGACATGTTGTTGTTACACAGAACGATGAGTCATTTAATTATAACTCGAATACAAATGACTAAGATATATATAAAGTTTTTAATGTTTGTTCATTGTAACTGAAATAATGTACATGTCACAATCATTCAAAAACTAAGTTATTATATTCTTCACTTTTGTCATTTTTATCGATATAGATATTATGATACGTGGTATTATGACTTTTATTAAATAAATAACTATTGTGTGACTCAGAAGATGGATCAGTGTAGGTATAGATACATGTGCTTTCTTGAACCATACCTACACTGTCGTCGATGGGGCCGTAATTGCCTATTTGGTTCATTTTTCGTNAGGTCGAAAATTCACTAAAACGGTCATAACTTTGAAAGAAAGGTCTAATGGTACGAACTCTTTTAGGCTTTTTCTAGTCTTATTGGGTCCTACTTATGAGCACAATATGAACCCAAATGGTGCGTATCACTTGAGAATGTTCCCTCGTTAGACTTTTTAGATGTTGAATTTTTTTTTTCGAGATAAACCATCATTTGAAGTCTTAGAATGTCCTGAATTTTGAAAACATAGTCTAAACCATGATTTCGCGACCGAGACATAAATTTACTTATGTATAAAAGCTGAAATTATGATAAAATTAACAACGATATAATCTGATGAAATCTATTTTTAACAAAATTTTTCAAATTGTACTAAATGAAGATCTAAACTTGCCTTGCAAAATAATTTAGCTGCGTCCATTTTGTCAAATTATAAAACTTTCAAGACAGATAGATCACGATAAGTAGAATAAAACTTGTCATAGACTGAAAATTCCCAGACACACACTTGCTTACTTCAATTTTATCAAAACACTCATAAAAATAGTTGAGCTCGATCAAACGTACCGTATAGAAAATTGATTTTGAGAAACATACAAAACAAACTTTCTTGTATATATTAAGATTTTTATTTTCAACTAAAGCTTTTGTCATTAAGAAAATTTTATATAGAAAAAAATACTTGTATCACGAGCTTTTCTGTTAGAGGTTTCGAAAGTTGGATTTAATAAAAAGTACTGATGAGCAAAGAAGACCGTTCATTTATATGGCATTTGACAGAAAACACTTCGGAGTTGCATATGGAAACAAAAACCAAAACTCGAAAAAAATAAATGTCGATTTTCATGGTAACACTTATCTATTCTTGAGAAACTTACCATATTGATTTTTTTATTTCACAAAAAAACAAAAATCTAATTTCAATGTAAATTCTTTTATAACTCATAATTTAAAAAAAATCATTCAAATTTACCTGTAAATTAAATTGTTTATCTCTATCGGGTGAATGTGATCGACTTGCTACTGTTGATGTCATACGTGAAACACTCGGTGTTGTCATACCCATTGCTTCAATATTAATATTATTATTTAATCCAATGAAAAATTCTCCATATTCATCATAAACTTGTCCACGAGTTAATATTGATGTTATTTGTTTAATTAATATTCTATGACATGCACATAATAATTTTTTCATTGTTGATGAAAGCATTGTATTACCATCTAATGTACAACGACGAATAATATCAAGAATTTGACAACCACGATAACCATTTGATTGAAGTGTATTTATTAATGAAACAAGTGAAGGAAATAAAAGATTATAATCAGTTAATGATGTTAAAAGATGTGAAAGTGTTAATGATGTATCAATAAGACATTCATGTTCAAGTTGACTTAAACAATTAAGATATGATTGAAGTATTGAACGAAGTTCAAAAGCAAAACTTAATATATACAAACCACCTTAGATTAAAAATGAAAGAGATTAAATTTTAAAATTGTAAATTCTTTATTATTATTTTTTTTTTCTTTACTTGTTTTATCTTTAAAAATATTTTGAATATATTCATCGAGTGTACGATAATGTTGACCAATTTGTGTAAGTCTATCGAGTATTTCTAATTCACCTTGATGAACATAGGAAATTGTTGGAAGACGCTAAAAAATATGTAAATAAATTTAAATTAAAAAAAAATTATTTTTTTTTTTTTTCTTTACTTTTTTAAAATGAGGATCATCTTGTTTTAATGTTAATAAACCACTACATCCCGTTTGTAAAGCTATTAAAGCTTCATGTAAAGCCATTGGAAATGAAATCTATATGTTTTCTTTTTTTATTGAAATAAATATCAAATCGTACGTAGCGATTGATGTTCTTAGATGCTTGTCATTTGTCAAATGGAACTAACCAATAGAAATTTTATAAGGAAGTAACAAAGAAAATCGGACTTATTTAGATTCCATTTTATTCTTAAATATGGCCGAACCATTGTCAACAAATGTTACTATTGAACCATGTCTCGAACCGAGTGTTTATGAATATTCACTCGATGGCGAAAAAATTAAATCGTAAAATTTAAATCTAAATACATATATTTAATTTTTCATATTTCTTTAGGACTCAATCAATGTCTGATCATTTTACAAAAATTCTCAGTCGTATGGAATTAAATGATGTACGTTCTGAAGATTCAATTGAAAATACGAATGATGATGAACGTCGAATAACAAATGGAGGAAAAAATGCATTTGGAACATTTTTTGAACAAATGAGGTAAATTAATAAATAAAAATTATTTTCTTTTTTTCATTTTGAAAGTAATTCTATTGTTTAAATATTCATCATTATAGACAAGCTAATATTGAAATGTGTGCATTACATGATATTTTATCATTAGTTATGAGTCGTCGTTATTTTAATTTATCTTCAAATGTTGCTGATATAGAAGAAAAGTTAAATA